CTTGCTGCCGCATCCATTCAACCTTGAGGAGCGAGCTGGTCTAGTGGTAGAGCATGGGCTTTGCACCCCGATGACCTGGGTTTAAATCCTGCTAATTACCAATGGATTTGTTGTATGTGATTATGCCACAAACCTCTAGGACTAGCCTGAAGTGTGTAAAACAGTTCCAGGCTAGAACCTAGTGTCTTAGGATGTGAAGGTAAGACCATCACCTTGCAGAGAAAAATAGAGATATTCAGCTTAACTTACATAGAATTTAGAATAATAATAAAATAGAATTTAAATCTGATAAAATGCATTTCTAAAGCCATTGAAAAATTAATTGTATACAAACTACCCAAGTGAAATACCTTTTTTCCAACAATACTAAAGACCAATTTTGCATACAGTATTGAATTCATAATTGCAATTTCCAATAGTATTTATACCTTCCGCAAAGATTCGTGGCGGATGAGGGATTAGGACGGTCGGGTGGTGTCCCAGCCCCTAAATTAGCCCGCACTCGGCTGCTCTGGGGTTTGACAATGAGTCACCCACTGGCTCAATGCATAGTTGGTAAAATGTTTGTATATCACCATAATGTGTATTAAATAACGTCATTTTTGTAACCTGCATCAAATAACAAGAACATTGAGCCCAAACACGAAATAATTGCGATGATATTAAGCATACCACGACACTAAAACTTGTATGCTTATGTAAAAATGTATACTTAATAACGCCGCAATTATTTCGTGTTTGGGCTAAATGTTCTTCTTATTTGACGAAGGTTACAAAATTGGCGTTATTTAATACACTTTATCGTGATATACAAAAATTCTTCCAACTATGCATTGAGCCTAGTGGGTAACTCATGGTCAAAACCCAGAGCAGCCGAGCGAGGGCTAATTTAGGGGCTGGGACACCACCCGACCGTCCTAATCCCTCAGCCACCACGAATCTATGCAGAAGGTATAATGGATAGTGAAAAAATGTGTAACTTGCAAACTTATGGGATCGTAAATTATACCTTATTATAAACTTCAAATGTTGACAAGAAATATTTACTGTATATAGAAGTGGTGCCAACTATTGTAATTTTCAACCTAAACCTTCTGAAATTGTAAAACAAACATTGTAAGCCTAATATAGAAATACAGTTTATACAGGAATTTTACATTACAAACCTTCAAAAAGTGTTCTAAACTTTTGTTAGGATTGCACTGGTAAAATTTAGATCTCAAAGTAAGCAAAGTATCCAATCTATATATGGATAAATATTTAATGACAGTTGATAAAAGGTAAATAGAACACCAGAAAAAATGTATACTTACACAATTCCTTGGTTAGTGTTGTTTTTACTTTCAATCCACGAACATGGACCGAATTTGGAATACTTGAAGGAATATTCCAAAACATCTTTGTCGTTGCATAAAGTGCTATCTTTTGTTACACCTCGGACAACAACAAAGCCTATCAACAAATTTTTCATGGAATCAATATCCAAGGCTTTGAATATCTTGTAATATTCATTCGATTTGTCAGAGCTTGGATTTCTTTTAGGTATTGTACGCGTCTGCTTGGGCTGTGACGTTTTCTGATCAAAAGCTCTCTTTTGTTCAACTTCTTCTGGATCAGTAGCAACTCGTTTTCTCGAGACTTTATTTTCTTGTTCAGTGGACTTGGTTTGGAGCGAGGGTATGGATTTTGAAGTTTTTAAATTCTCCCCTCGCGTAGCATTCCTAGTAGTTCCTGACTTGGACTGGTTTTCACGTACAGCTTTAGCAGATAGTTTATCCGAAGCAGGCGGTATGACGACTTTGTTTGTGGGTCCTGCAAAACCAATGACAGTGTAAAATAACACATGATTCTTTGTTGTTAAATTGTTTAAGGATCTAAATGAATTTGAAAAATGTATACATACCAGTTCCTACCCACAACAAACATAGAATGTATTTAACATGACAAATATAAAACAACAGCAGTAGGTTTTTTTTAGTGCATGAGGTACCTATTAGAATAGTACCTCAAAAACCGGATAGTTAGGACAGTATTTTGTTTTTGTCACCAACTTATTTTTTCAAACTTTTTAAAAGACAGTGATGAGTCCAGGTGATTTTTTTGTTACTCGAGCTCAACTCTTCTAACCTCTCTACCACCACTTGTGCGTCGAATAATGATGTTCAAAATCCCCTTTGCACACAAGTGTAGACAATAGAGCTAGTAGACTACAGTGTCTGTTAGCTCTGCTTGGCCAACTGCCCCACATACCCTGTGTTAGGAAATTTTACCACAAAGGCTCCATCCTAGCTGGACAACAAAAAATTTTGGCGGCGCAACCATCGATGTAACGGTAACAACTGATAGTACATGTACATTAAATGTTCAAACATTTCATTTTAATATGTACGCTACATCGTACAATGAACAGTGTCAATATAATTCTAAAAATAGTATTACAAATAATGAATAACATAAAACACAGAGCAAGAAAAACAAACAGTAAAATAAAAAAAATGATAACATTGGCATAGCTGAGATAAATTACTAAATTTCAATTAAGTGAACAGTACCTATGTTGTTAAAATTGACACATGATATCTGTGTATAAAACCTAAGTGATTACTTGAAAGCTAGATGGTAAGGTACCCATATTAAAAAAAAAAAAATGTATAGCCAGAGCTTCAACCAATAATGTACAATAACGTACAAGTGACAGTGGCGTTACTTGTCCAGTCTTCTAACAAGTTTTTGACTTTTATGTCAGTTGCATTGCTTGCAAGAATTTATTCACCCAGCTAAAATGGAGCATAAGTATAGCATTAACGATTGTCCTCGTATGCAGTAGGCTTATGAGTTGGCATTCCAACATGTGGGAGTTTTGAGTTAAACTGCCAACTGATTGGTTTGGTGCATTGACTTGACTGGCTGACTTGCAGAGTAGTTCAGCTGGCTTCAGGATTTAGATTAAGTTTGGGACTGGCTAGCCCTGAACCTAATCTCAAAATATTTTTGAGTAGTTGAAACATACATACACATTTGTACAGTTTGTGTGAGTTTGGAATATCCACTGTTGATTTTTTGTAAACGAGCAAATTGGACTCAAACCCATGAGGTAAAGCCACTTCCACTAACTTAAATTAAAGTGGACATTGTCTCGTGTCAAGTAAAGATGAACATAAGCTACAATATAGATGCTGCTGCTGATATGTATGGCGAGTTGATCAAAAAGACAAAAAAATAAAACAAGCACTCTCATAAGTAAAGTTAATGAAGAGCTTGTGTCTTCCCCTTCTCTGCAGATGATTTGTATCATACTAACAGTCTTAGATTATAATATGCACTATTCAATACAGTAAAAAAGTAAAATTTGTATTCTAAAATTAATCTTAATGTTAAATTACTAACGCAATTTCTGTCAGCTAAAATACGATGTTTGTTCATGTTGTTTTTGAGCTGTCTGATAGAAAATGTGTAGTAATTTAGTCTTGAGGTAATTTAGTCAACCGCTCAGTGGCTAAAAACATGGATTTTAAATAACATAATATTATTACCTACCTATATTACATTAAACATTGTACAAAAAAAGTAAATATAAGTACTAAAAATACATAATACAAAATTAAGCATAACATAAAAGCATTACCTATTCTCTGTTGAACATTGTTGTTCGACTAAATCTCTCGTGTGCAGCAGCTGATGAATTTACTGAACCATTGATAATACACCTCTACCAGGAAAAAAAATTGGGTTTAGAAGTAAGCACTGTAGCGTACTTTAGGGTTGGTTAGCAGTTGGCAGCGGACATGGTGATTGCTAATACTACTCTATGGATGCAACACTGAAAGGAAGAGATCTGATCTATCCAATTCTTATTAATTCCGAACCTAAATCTATGAGATCAACATCTAGTAGAGGTGTGTAATCAATGGCCTATACTGGGTGAACTCAAATCCAATAGAAAAATACATGTGAAACCCAGTTTGAAACTACTACAGATGGATTATTTATATGATGACCAGTATTGAGAGCTTGGGGTAGAGATATAGATAACGAAAAATTCTCATTATTATTGTTACGAGATTGATGTAGATTTCAATCCAAAGGAATGGAGGAAATGAGACAATGAACCTGGAAATGGGGGAAGGAATGGAGATGCTTTGTCTAGCAACCTAAAATATTGAAACGAAACATTCAAATTTTCAGAAGCCAGTGGTATTCTGGTTTTGCTGGTGTTACTGACTAAGACCAGCTGTTTTTTAGAAAATTTATTGAAATCTCAATGATCAAGGACAAGTGGATCCAGTTCTGAACCATCAAAAAGCTACTGGCTACACTCAGTATTAAACCGGCGACGTTTTGATTAAGACAAACACTGTAACCACTCAGCTACCCAGCCCAAGAGATCTGATGTCCAAAACCATCTGAACTCAATTTAAAGGTAGTGAGGGTGCAAGTCTACCTCTGCTCTAATGGCGGCTCCTGACATGTGCCACTCGCCAAGCACAAAATATTTGACGTTCGGCAATTTAGTTGTCTTGCAATTCGCTGATTAACGAGTAGACATCTACACACATGTGTGGTTTTCTGAGCAACTGCTCGTGTTTTGTTTGTTTTCTGTGCGCAAAAACACCGACAATGAACAGGAAAACACGAGCACAAATGTTTGCATTTCGAAAATGTCACTGTCCAACTGATTCATCTATAAGCTCATGCAGTTATTCTCGTAAAACTTGTAATACAAATTGAATCAATAAGCATGGAACATATGCAAAAAATAATAAAATAACACAAAAATAAGCAGTTTTTGTTTAAAATTTATTTTATTTAGTTAGTTTTGTAGGTGTTTAAACCTTGAATTTCAACAACTTAATTTTTTGTTGACGTTCAGATCTGAAGAAAAAATAAATAGACCTGTTTTTTTTTTATCAAGAAAGCCTCTTTGACCAAAATGGATGTTTTTGGGCGTGGATCAAACACCGAGATGACATATGCATTATTAAGATACATACTCCCTAAATTCTGAAATTTATAACTGAGTGATTTTTGCACTAGTACAAAGTCTAAGGACGACTTTTAAGCAAAGTGTACAGAGTACTTACTATGTATACAGGAAGTGGACAAGACTGACCAGGCTCTGTGTGATAATTTCAAAGCATACCCTGCGTTAGTGGCGGCCTTCTTGCCATGCTACACAAGTTAAAAAAGAAAAGAAAAGGAATTGCAGATTTTAAACAAGAAACAAACAACAAACTAGTCTCAACATGTGTCACACGGCCTGGAAGCCATTACCGCCGGGTCTTTAGTGACATCATCACCGCAGGCCACTTAGTCTGGCCCACCTTTTATACTCCACACACCTTGATTTTGCAGTGACCACCTTACTGCGTTGTAGGTTCTCCTTTAGGACTTCGGTCATCCGAGGAAGCACCTGCGAGTACTATGAGCTGCACTCGACCCAAGCCCAAGTAGATCCTCCAGCCACGGTCTTTCAAAACCTTTGCACTTGTTTCATCAATTGCAAGAACCAGAGTACGGTGATCTTCCTTCTTCTTCCCACCAATGACACGCCAATCCTCGGTTGTCAAACCATGGTTTTGCCGTTGAACCTGGTTTAAAACTTGGGTGGCATCCATCTTGGCCATACGCTTGTCAGTTCGCAAGAACACCTTGGTCGTACGCAGCAGATCTCTATAATCTGCCACAATTACCTTAGTGCCTCCTTCGCCTTCAAGCGCCAGGTTGGGACCCACCCCCTTTAGCCAGTCAACGGTTTCGATGTTACCGCAAGAGAAAACAAGAGCCCCATTTTCAGGGTAGGTTTTAATAAACTGAAGCGGGATCTTGGTGTTGTCATTCCCGAGTACCAAATCCATCAGCCTGTCTTGTAACTTTTCACAGTCTTTGGCAGAAAATCTCGCATCAGGGTAAGCTGCTGGTGCTACTGCCATTTTACAGATTGCAGCCTGGTTTTTGCAGCTGGCCTCATTTGCAGTAGGTGCAACTAGTGTTGTATTGCTTTTATATTTTTTTAAAGGAGATGGTTGAGCTTTTTGAGGAGTGTCTTCTAATGTGGTCATTTTCATATGTGAAACTCCCAATCCTTCACCAGTGGAACTAACTACTGATGTATTGCTTTTATATTTTTTTAAAGGAGATGGTTGAGCATTTTGAGGAGTGTCTTCTAATGTGGTCATTTTCATATGTGAAAAACCCAATCCTTCACCAGTGGAACTCAATAGCTCTCGTTTCCTCCTTTTCCATGTCCTGTTGGGGACCCAGATGCCTGCTGCTATCTTTTCCTTCTTAGTGAGCAATCTATGTTCTTTTTTAGTCATCACTGTCTGCATCTCTCCTGAGTCTGATGACAAGGTTTCATCAACAGTATAAATCTCCATCGCATCGTTTATAACATCTTGAGCAGACAGACTATTTGTAGCATGCAGTATGGCAACTTCTTCTGTTGCTCCTGCAAAGAAGAATTGTAGTGTCAGATGAATAATTATTTGTTTTTGAAATTATTAAGGAGGAACATTTGAACATGGGACAGATCTAAACTAGCTCACATTTTCTGCTGAAGTAGCAGCATTCGGTTCTTTATTAAAGCATGGCTGTAAAACCTGTTAATGTTTGTTGACCACTTCCAATTCGGCGAGTCCTTGACTGAAGTGAGGATGAAAAGTTGATCTTGATGTTCACTTAAAAAGAAAATTTAACTAACTAAATTCCATGTGCTCAGGGGTACATTTCAACATTCAAATTTACAGTTGCTTTAGTGTATGTTCTTTCACGGTTCAATTTAGTGTGTTACAGTAGTTTCTTTTGGACACAGCATATACTAAATCAGCTAAAAACAACAAAATCCTTTTGGACCTATGAACTATTGTATGAACCTATCCTAAACTAATTTTAATTTTAACTTACTTATGTATTGTTAGATTGGTGATATGTCACTAACATAACCACAACTAGCATTATCTGACCACTGGCATTAGCTTACACCACCATTGACTTAATAATATTGAAACTCCTACTGTATTGTAAACTATACTCCAAAGACTTGATTTTCCATCAATCTGAGTACCTGATTCTCTCTGTTTCTGGTTCTCAGCGTGTTATTTCTATCTATCTCTGGAGCGGTATTTGACAGTGAAGTGTTTGGTGAAAACTACTTCTGTGTTCAGGACATCTGAGATCATATCAAGCACAGAACATGTAGCCACAGCTTTGGAAATGGGGTCAGGTCTGCTCCAAACATGCTTTCCTTCCACTAATGTGTAACCTTCAGGCAATAATCTGCCTTGCGGGATTCAGGCTTTATGAAGAATGAGTGCCTTCTAAAGTCGCTGATGGACTACTCCTAAAGGCACCAGTCACTAGAAGCGTACCAAGCCTTCGCAGAATTTCTAATTTTACTATGAAGGTTACCTGATACACTTTAGTCCACCAGACGAGTGAGCCTCATTTACTTTTAGCCAGAATACTATGTGGGGTATGATTCCCCAAGTGATCCTGCAAATGTTCAGGACGTCACGAACATCCATTTGACTTTGTGCAGTGTGTTGTTCAGATGGTTGTTTCACGTCAACTTGGAGTCAAGTGTCAGTCCTAAATACTTGACTGTACTCGACACTCCCAGCTGAGTAGTGTCAATGAGTAGGAAAAAGAATTCAAGTTCTTATTTCAGGTGAATGGGACTGTGATGGTGTTGGAGGAATTCGTGTTGAGTCCTTCTATGAGACTCCATGCTTTGTCATGCCACAGAGACAGCCTTATTGTGTTGTAGGTTGATCTGCAGGAACCTCCATTTTGTAATTAACCGGAGTTGTGATAAGTGAGACCTGCCAGAATCCTAAATTGGCTCTGAAGTTGTTCGACTGCACAGCCTCAAAGCAGACCTCATCCAGGTAGCAGACGAATCCGTAACCTTTCCGATCCGCCTTAGCTGGCAGTACCTTCCAACCGCAGGGGGCTCACGCTTGCGTGGGTTCGTGGCCTGGGCGACCACGCGGACCCTAGCTCTCCCAGAGGGGAGGTAACTGCCCGGTGTTGGAACCGGCACTTCAGGTAGACCACAAGCTATGGACGACTGGACAAGCCAGCCTCTTTGGGTTTACCCAAAGTGAGAGTACCCAGTGACATTCCCTCCATTCAGGGTGGTGGGGTGTTCAGCTCTGCTAGTGTTGATTAAGTTCATAGATCTTTCACCTGCCTGTAGCTTGTGGTTGTGACTGAGTCCTACCTGTCGTGTACGACTGACATTTTGTGAGGCATATCCTCGACTTTGGAAGTAGCCTCGTCCTGGGAGGTGAAATACCTAGCCCCCAGAGGGGAGGTAAATGCTCCGTGTTGGTATCGGCATTTTCAAGTTGGCCACAGACATGGACGACTGGGCATTGGGTCCCAGTGACATTCCTTTATCCAGGATGGAGGGGTGTTTAGCTCTAGGAGAGATGGAAGTACATCATAATCTCTAACCTACCTGTGTCTGTGGTTCTTTGGGCTTCGGCCTGCTTGTTGTGTGCGACCAGCATTCAGTGGGCAAATCCTCGACTTTGGAAGTAACCTTTCCTGGAGGTGAAAACGGGCAAGTACCCGCAGCTCACGGGGACACTCAAGGGCAACGTAACTTTCCGCAGTGTGAGGGCAACGGTTTGTAGGTACTTATGCAAACCAATCCCTGTCTCTGAGCACGGACGGTATGGTTATCTTGAGTGTGGGGGGTTCTTCCCGGAACCTCAATTGAGTCAAGGGTGTCGCCACCTCTGGTGGATAGGTTCATCCGGGTGGGTCCCACTTCTATACCTGCCTCCTTTTGGGAAACCCTGATGGCCTGGCAGTGATGTTGGGTCCGAGCCCGCCAGGGGTATCTGGGGATCTATCGCTCTGGTTATCTCTGGTTTCCCAGCAATGGGTAAGGCCTCGATCGGGCAGCGGTGTAAATGGGAGGTTGGGGTTCCCCCCTTCCTCCTGGCTATCGATGGTGGGTTTTGCCTGTCAGGGATTAGATAGGTCCCGAGTGTTGCTTGCACTAAATGCGTCGGGGCGCTCCACCATGGACCTCTAGGTCTCGACCTAGTGGAACCCAGGTGGAGTGACGCTTAAACAAGCAGCCGGAATCCCTGGTTAGGATCGAGGGGCAACCCTCCTTCCGAAGGGTCTGCTTCGGCAGCCGGCGAGCCTGATGACCTTAAGTCATCCGCCCATGATGTGCTAAAGGTTGATGCGTAAGCTTCGGCCTACATCATGGGGCCCGGGTATGTCCTAAAGGATAGGTACCGGGTATGCAGTCAGGGGGCTTCGGCTCTCATGACAAAACGAAATGGAAATGGAAAATGGAAATGGAATGGCAGTACCTTCCACTCCTTGACATTGAGGTCAGGATTTTGCATGGTTAGCATCTCAATGATCTTTTCGGGTGTTTTCTTCAGAAGCTTTGGATGTGCTCTGAAGAATACCCTCTTAGATCTCGTAATGTCCTTTCTCAGCCTAGGCTTGAGGGTGAGTGGCTGCCCAAACAGATTGAGAGCCGGAATCAGTTCTTCCAGCCATCGCTTGGTGGCGTTGCTGAGGCAGGAAATGATGAGGGCACCTTTTTCCATGTAGATGCCTGCAAAAGCTGGGCTAGAACCATCCTCTAAGGGCTGGATTCTATTCAGGATAGCAACCTCGATTGCTTCTCCTTGCTCGTCTGTAAGCTTAGCCTGAGGATAGTTTTCAAGGACAATGGCAATTTTGGTTGCAGGGATGTCCCTGTAGGAGACTTCCCTAGATGTTCCAGGTACCCCTGTGTCTTGACCCCCATCAGACCTATGGGTGGAACCTCTGACCTTCTGGACAGGTCCTTCTGCCGAGGGTGGAGTGACCGTTACACCTCTAGGGCGCTTGGCTACTCTCGTCCCGACATTTGGACCCACAGTTGGGCCTAAGGTTCCTTCCTTCTCTGGTCTTTGGGGCTTTTTCTTTTTCCCTCTGCGCCACTTGGCAGGGTCGAATTCCTTTCCTCTTGCCAGAAGTTTTGCCTTTAAGGCCTCTCTTCTTTGGGCAGTGGAGAGGTTGGGTCTCTTAATCTTTAAATGTGCATTGTATGGCTGGTTTTCATGTACATCTTGAGTAGAAAGTTGTTTTGCAGCGTGCAGTACAACAACTTCTTCTGTTGATCCTGCAAAACCAAAACTTGTAGGGTTAAATTAATTATGATTCTTTGTTTTGGTTTTTAATTGTTAAGTAGAAGGGTTCTGTACATTCAATTAAAAAATAGGGTGGATTTTAACAAGTCAAAGTTTTCTACCAAAATAGCAGCATTTGGTTCCTCATTCATGGCTGTGTAACCTGTAGATAAACCACTTCTGGTTTAGCCAGCCTTTGTCTAAAGTGAAAAAGAGAAAAATGGTTGTGATGTTGACATGAAACTTAATTTACTCCATTCCCTTTTTTAGACCAAAGTTTTCATACTTCACTATTTAGTTTTTTTTTATATAATAGACTAGATAGCCTCTCGTTTAAGGAGAAATATGCTCAGGGACACATTTAAACATTCAAATTAACTGTTTAGTATATTTAAATTTTCATTTACGGTGTGATTTGGTGTTTTGTGGTAGTTTTGTTTGGCACAGCACATTTTATCAAATTAAGAGAAAACAGTTTATTTTAAAGGCTGTCTCATGTTAAGTTGAGGCAGACTACCTGACCAAAGGGTATAGCAGGACAATGGCTAGGCCTGTCCTTCGACGGACCCTCCCGACCCTTGGAGTAAATCCCATTAACTACGCTTCACTGAATACTTCACATAAAAGCGTAAATATATTGATTAATTGAAAATATAATCCATTCGTCGTAATTGAAAATAACGTATTATAGGTTATAAAAAACAAAATTTTTTATGTTAGTCTCATGCAAATCGGCCGACTTTAAGTATTAAAACAAACTTTTCCCCTTATAACTAAGTACAATATTTAATTTTAAATTACTAATAGGTCTCATTGATATTCTAAATTATACTTCGTTCATAATATTTAGGCGGTCTTAAGGGAAGAAATCTATCACCTCCACTTGACCCTTTAAAAGTAAGCATTCGAAACGCCATTAATGAGTGGAAACCTCGATTGTAGGCTTTTGGCACCGTTATCAAAACTCGAGTAGGATACAACTTGATTACACACTGATTCTCTGGTTCCCGACATGGATGGTGGCTAGTTATTTGATTTAATTTACAATTACATATTGCCCTTGGGATTAATAAAACCTGTTATTTAAGCCACACGGTTATTAATCTCACTTCTTTAATGTAAAAATAACAACAAAAAAATATAACTTTGAACTACAGACAAAACTAATTTTATTTATATTGATAGATGCACTATTAATAAAGACTTATAAATTAATTTTGTACTACAAGAGACAAATTTAGCAGTTTGTTTTAATACTTCAAGTCGGCCGTTTTAAATTTTGTTTTTTAAAACATAGAATACATTATTTTCAGATATGACGAATTGATTATATTTTCAATTAATCAATATATTTACGCCTTTATGTGAAGTATTCAGTGAAGCGTGGTTAATGGGATTTACTACAAGGGTCGGGAGTGTCCGTCGAAGGTTCGGTCTAGTTTTTGTCCTGCTATACCCTCTGGTCAGGTAGTCTGCCTCAACTTAACATGAGACAGCCTTTAAATATCTATGAATTGTTTTCAACCTATTCTACTGTAAACTAATTTTAACTTATATAGGCTAGGAGCTTGCTGATTTGTAGGTAATTGACATAATTATAACTAACATGCCCACCTTCACACCATTAACATCATATTACTGAAACTATGTTATCAAAAACCTTGTTTCTTTAAAGCTAAATAATTTATAAGATAAAAATAGGTCGCCTTAAAATAAGAAAAACACTCCTCTTGAAGTCAATGAAGCAGATATGGAAGCAGCTGGGATAATGCAGTTGTCGGCAAAAAATGCCTTCATGACAAACTAAAGCTGTCTCTGGTGTTACAATTACAACACACTTTTTATAGGCAACAAAAAATGAAACTGCTATAGTATGCCTAGCAGCTATCCCAAACTGTGTCAATGCAAAAAAAATTATCAAAATGTAATGTCAAGCGATTCTTCATGAAGAGATAACGGTTCTGCTATAAAATTGATTGT